TGTACTATTAAAAAAAAAAATAAAGAAAAATAAAAATTTCCAACAGGTTTTGCAATTCCTGGCAATTATTTCTTTACTGTACGTCAAACACAAAGCATTCTCAGTTCTTCCTAAGAAATAGTCCTCTGTATTTAAAAAACAGTTCAGGAAAGTTTTTCTGATTTATATATTGTGTTTTTTTGTTTTCTGATTTCTTTATAGTACTTCATTCCAGAAAACATCACTAGCTGAGTCTACATTCTGTTTATTTCCTTTAGTGTGGGCAGTCTGTTTTACTCTGTGCCCTGAATTTGTTTTTATCTGTTACATGTTCTTACCCCTTTTGCCAAGTTGAATTTTGATGTCAAGATAAAACACTGCATTAGGTTTCTGTTGTAACAAACCCGCTGAGATAATTAACTCAAAAGGAAAAGATTTTTGGCTTCTGGTGTTGGAGGATTAGTCCTTGGTCAGTGGATCCCGTGGCAAGGCCGTCATAGTGGGGAGCACATGGTGGAGCAGCAACTGCTGGTGGCCACCAAGTCTCAAAGAGCGAAGTCTGGGATTCCGGTGTACCCTTGAGGGTCTCACACCCGGATAACCTCAGTCCTTTCCATTAGAGGCCTCTGGAAGCTTCCCCTGCATGCAGGAACACCACAGGCTGGCAAACAAGCCTTTAGCACTCAGGGCCCGGGGCACTTCGCTAAACCGTAGCATCAGCCTAAAGTTGTATTTTTCTTTATATTTAGTCTGGATTTTTATCAAGACAAAATTATTAGCCCTCAGACTTTTAAATACAGGGTCAGGCAGGATATCCATTCCAGAAGTTGTACAGTTTCTTAAGAAAATTGTTAACAAAAGAATTCATTTTTTGATTGAAATTAAAGAGCAGAATTAGTCTTGGTTTTTTGGTGGTGAAGTATGAGAAGGTTGCACCATTTGTTCTTACTGTGGAAAAAAATTTCAGATGGAAAAATAGAAATTTTCCATCACTTTAAGTGTTTGCATAGAATGCATACAGGTAGATTTTTGATTAACATCTAATAGAATGAATAGGTTCATCTGTTAAAGTTGTTGGCAACGTTTTTCCTGTGGACCTTAATAGTGAAATGGTCTTCAATAGTTTTTCCTGAAACTGTAATTGCTGTTTTTTAAGTTGGCTGCTCAGATGGTTTGTTTATACTAGTTTGTTTCAGTAGTACATTTATAATGTTTTTGTTTTGATTAGGGACTGAAAACTCCAAGAAGCATTTTTTAAACCAAGAATTGCTTTTGATAAATCTCTTTGATTACTAAAATAAAAGTATCATGTATTCTGTCAGTTTTATTATGTTAGAATAGTTTGTTTTTTTATGAAAACATACACAGAAATAATGTAAATAAATATTAGGTTTTCATTTTGTCAAATTCATTTTAGGTAACGTAAGTGAATTAAGGTATTGGGTTAGCTGGGTTTTTTTCTTTGTCACAACTGGTGTAACTTCTAAATATGGATGCAATGGTGTGTCTGTTATTATTTGTTACTTTTAATCTGCTGATTGAGTAGTGCCACTCTTTGCAGCACATGACATTCCTTTTTGATGATTTGTGGTAGTTCATAAATTTTTCAGCTGTAATTGCATGTTGGAGTGTGAAAATAAAAATGATGCAAGAGTCTTCTGTATTCCTGCATGACTCCTGCTGGTCTCACTCCAGGGCCCATGCGTGTAGTGGAGTTCGGCCACTGCCCTTTGCAGGTCAGGCGTGGCATGTGTGGTGGAGGGATTTCCATAGAATGCCCATCTTCCTGTTTTTCTAAGGCACTTTGTCCAAATGGGGCTTCTTGTTCAGCTTAACAAGGATAATTCTGACTTTTCTTGGTCCTCATTGGAGGGTAGCATAAAGATAGGAAGTAGGATGGTGGTGAGTTCCAGGTACAAAAACATGTGTGCAACTTACGTTTTTTAAGCATCTTGATAGCTATGGGACTATGTAATAGAATTGTCAAGTGTTAATGTTTTTGACAAAGTACTGCTGCCAAAATTATCTTTTTGTTATATTTAGACATGAACAATTGTCCGTTTATTGAGGGCCATTAGTCTGTTTGGAATATCGTGGCCATCTAAAGGCAGTAGCTTCGCTGGGTGTCCATCAAATACCGAATACAATTACAGCACCCAGGAACCTCAGCAGCAGTATCTCAGAACCTCCGCCTGCTTAAATGGGCGATCAGTGAGTGCACTTGCTCAGGGATGCATGACCCACATCACCTATAAATTTGATTGGAAGCTCCAGAACTGGCAGAGGCTGATGGATGGCAGATTAGAGCCCTGATTAACCATGTGATTCGAAGACTGGGAATATATTGTCTAAGCAAGATTCATCAGATGCAATCAGAATTTCAAGTGGTCAGATGAAATTCAAATGCGTACTGTGGCTTTTCCTCCCCTACTGCTTTTCCTTCTAGGTGCAGGATTGTTTTTTTTTTTTTTTTTTTTTTTTCTTCCTCTTTCCCCAAAGCTGAAAAATACTTCTTTGATGAATCTGCTCCTTACCCTAAAGCTGTCTGTCTGTTATTCATCAGAAAGCAGGTCGCAGTTCAGTGAGCAGAAGAAAAGATTTTAATAGAAGCTGTGCCAAGGGCTGTAATGCATCATTTTAGGGCCCTAATTACATTACAATGACAAATATCAATGGTGACAACAGCAATAACCTACATCCTTTAATGGCTGTGCGGGAAAAGGAGTTGGGGCCCCACACCATTAGATTAGACTCAGTTTCAAAACACAGGCCATTAGAAGTGCGTGTCCACACTATTATTGGCGGCTCGCTGAAGCCTGCTGGAAAGGCCTGTAAATAAATGATGTCTCCCTAAAGCTGGGCCCTGTGGGACAAAAGAGGCAAAATTAGATGACCGTGGAAGCGCAGTGTTTCCGAGGCAACTTTAGCTTTCAAAGTGAGGAATGACCCGCTTAATTTTATGAAATCACACACAAATCCCACCCCTCTGGCTGCCAATTAGCCTGTCTATGAAAATCCATTGGCATGACAACTTAAAGAAATTAAGAAGTCTTTTAAACAAAAGGAGACCTTTAGAGAAAAAGTTGGGCTTCTCTCTGCCTTTTTCTGTGATGTTTGTGCCATCATGGCTTTCTTTTTCACATTAGTTTTTAAGAAAAGTGTTTTTCTTTAGAGTTGCAAAGACTTAAAATGGCATGGGTTCCAAATTAAGGGCCCGAATCACTTTTGGTCTTTATTTTGCCAGATGAGTTAAGTTTCCTGCGTACTTTTTATTGCCTAGATTATGTAGGCAAACTACAGAGCTCAGTTTTGTTCTGTGCCCACACATTTTTCAGCCCTCCTAGCAAGGGACTATTTTATTTATGTAAACAACATAATGAGGAAAATATGCTTGGCAGATGGTTCTGAGCATCAGAATCATCAGTTTGCTGTGCCCCAAAGTGTCTCATTATCTTTTATTCTCACCCTCTCTACCTTCCCCTACAAAAAGCTTAACAATCAAATGCCTTTGAGCAGCTCTGAGCATTCAACCTCCTGAATGCTACTTTATTTTCTTGGCTCACCCTGGAATTTCACCCCTTAACCACTGTGCTATGTTCCTCCAGGTGGAGAGTGATTTGGTGATTCCCTTTGCAGCTTTTCATGGTGGTTTAAGCATTCTTAAAGGATGGCTAAGTGCTCCATGGGGCCAGTGCAGTAAATTAAATCAGGTCAGCACAGTTGGGTCCTTACTGCTGCTTGCTGGTGCTGAGTTTTCGTCCATCCCGTTAGGAATGCAAGCTGGAATGGAAAGCTCTGGTTTGAAAAGGCAGGGTGCATTTGTGTGTTCTGTTGGCTGGCACAGTTTTTAAGGTGCTGGCGCTTAAAAGATAACATAGCTGCAAAGTCAGAAAGGTTGCTGATGAAGAAGGAAGGCTAGATTCCAATGTCGCCGTCGTTCTAGCAACACGTAGCAAGAAAAAGGGCATTTTTGTCCTTAGATAGCAGGCACTGACCGGGGATGGTATTTAAGAACATTTTAGTAATAGTAATTAGGCTTTCTGTGTTATACTTCTTTCCCTACCAATCATTAAAATATAAGCTATTTGGTATGTGTACAAAAATACATACTTACCGAGGTGTGTATAACCCAGCATTTGAAAGTAAGGATTCAGATAAACTTCAGTAAAGCTCTTGAGAGAAAACATGTAGTAGTTAAATTTTTCTTCTTCTATTTTTAAAATGTAGGTATTTTATTGACAAAAGATTTCTGTACTTACAAAAATTATTAGAGAATAAATTTTGTTATCTGACATCGTTGGGACTTTTACAGATCTGTGGTAAAATACAATGTTCTCAGGGGTAGTCTCCAGATAGGCTCAGATTGCTTTCTGCTAAATATAGTAAGACTTTAGCTTGTTACAAGCCTCTACACAGGGAACATCCCACCAGGACACATTTGGAACATTTTATGGTTGAAAACATCCCCTTGGTCAACAATTTGTAACTAAGAATCTGAACTAATCAACTTACTTGGCTGACTGGGTGCTGTTTTTTTCAGGTTGGAAAGTTAAGTATAAAGTCCCAGTGCCATGTTTAAAGGAAAGGCCACGAATACTGAACTCCAATGAGTCAGTAATGGAAAGAATGTAGGGAAGAATGTAGGTTTAACCTGAGGTCTTAGGATTTTATGAAAAACATTACAATGTGCTAGTGTCCTGATGAAGGCTTTTGGAAACTTATTTGCAATAAGAGAGTTCAATTCCTTTCCCTGTTGTCCTGGTGCTTGAAGGTTAACTTTTTAAGATGCATGCTGGTTAATAAATTATGCTGTTAATGTGACGCTGTTGTCAGTGTTTCCCCCTAATGGGATCACTGATGAGAGAGTATTTCTCTTCCTTAGGAAACACTTCAGCCAGAATATAAAGTGTGTTTTCATATCATCCTGTTAATATTTCGGGAATCTGTAACCAGCTGACTGTTCTCTTTATTGCTTTCTTCTCTCTCTCTCTCTTTTTTTTGTTTTTTGTTTTTTTTTGCAGGCAGAGATTGTCAAGCGGCTGAATGCTATCTGCGCGCAAGTCATTCCTTTCCTGTCCCAAGAGGTAAGGCAGTTGATTTCAGGCACAGGGCTTGAAGTTGCTACTCTGGTGTTGTAGAGAGAGACTGGAACTGACTCTGGCGTTGCTGTTTATATTTCACATTTCTGAGATACGGTGCTCTTGGTTCAGCTTCTATGCCTTAACAATCAGTGTTATGTACTTTATATTTATGTAATGGAATTTTTTTACTAATGTGCTAAGCAAAATTCAATTGTTAAAATACTTTGCTGTCATTATATGATGTAGCGTTGCTCCGAATTGTGCCTGTTTGTCATAATGACATCTAATCAGGGAGACTGAAAAACTGCCAGGAAGACAGGAGCTTGTTCTACACTTCTGGCAGTGGCTTTTCAGAGTGAGCGGAAGAGGAATCAAGAGAAGGGTCTTCCCTGATAAACAAGCTAATGTAACTTTTGGCTACCTGTTTTCTTTAAATTACTATTGTTCGATTAAGTCTTTATGCTGCCTCCACATTTGGGAAAAGAAACAAAAAGTGGACTCAGTGAACTGACTTCTCTGAGTGCTACTTTTCTCAATATTAGGCTTTGCTGACAGGGTCTTCACAGCTGCCCTGGCCCAGCGTGTGGCCTGCTGGTTTGCATGCTGTCAGCAAAGGCACACAGGTTGGAATGAAGACCTGCGTTTCCAGGGTTGATGGCTACTGGGGGGCTTCCTTTTCCTCTCTTTTGCCTTTGGAAATCACAGTTTCGGGAAGAGAACTGCATAGAGATTGGTTTTGCTTCTGAACCCTTCACTTGTTTGGATATGGTCAGCTGTTAAGAAAGAACTCCGTCACTGTAGGCGTGTGTGTGTGTTTTCAGCCACAGCCTCTGTGTGGTGAGATCAGAAGGCACTGAGGTGCTTCCTCCCACCCTTTCAGTCCTGTGTTGTCTGTCCTGCCAGCTACCTGCCAGCAGGCATGTGAGGACTCGGTCAGTATTTGAGCATGTGTGTGTATTCCAGCTATGCAGATTGCTGTCTTGGACTGATTTGGTCTGCACTGTGGGAGGCTTGACTAACCAAGTGTACCCTTAATTGATCATATTCTGGGGAAGGGCACATTTTTGTTCACAACCTTGAATTTACATGCTCTACTGGGTCACAGAAAACAAAGATATCTTTTTTCCTGTCTCTTAGCTGTGACCACAAAGCCTCCACCAGTCATATTCCTATTTGCCTATTTTTACTTAGGATTTGCGTGTGACTGGATTATGTGGTATGGTGCATAAGAGTGTCAAGGGGGCACATTTGCATTTCTTTAGGAAGCCCTACTGCCCCTTGCTTGTTCCAGACCTGAGTGTTTCTTACTTTAAACAGCTCTGCTTTAGGGATCTAGAGAATGGAAGATTGTGTGACCACAGAGCTGCGATTAACAGGGGTGGGATGTCATATCCCAAGGTAAGAGGAAGAAGTTAAAGTTCTCCCTGGGGTAGTATTACACTTTGGGCCTTTGTAGGTGCAGACCCCTCTGTATAGTTATTGTGACAGCTTGTCCCCATGTCCTGTCTGCAGGGTCCATGGATTATCCTAAGATGTGGAAGGCGGTGTGGGGGCGTTGGCAGAGCTGACTTGTCTACAGGTAGTTTTCCCAGAGGAGTTAGTGTTGTTGTTAGCAGGCCTAGTAGGAGTGGACTGCGTAGCAGTGGTGGTGCTGAGCAAGACTGGACTTGAATTAATCAGCTAACAGATTGTCCCTTTAGAGGAAAGCCAAGGAGACCCTCTGACCACTCCCTTTGCTTTAGGCTGAAGGGGTAGGTATCACACATACTGTCACTATTTTAACCCTTTATTTCCCTAATGCTTGGACATTTCTCAGTGGAAAGTCTTGATTCCTATATAGTGATCTACATCAAGGTTTTCTAATATTTTCTAGTTCTGGGTATGTTTTTTCATTTTCTTATTTTGGATTTAATTGGCTTTACTTTTGGCCACAAGTGTGTTTGGGTCTCAAATCCTGACCCCTCTGATGGTTTTTGTCTGAATCGTGGCCCACTGCTTTTCCTCTTCAGGGCATTCTGTGAGCATCAGACTCCTCGCCTCTTCCCTGAGACCAGATGGACTGTAATCTGGAGGGAGGGGAGGAGGCAAGTTATTAGAGGAAGATGAATTCTATTTCCTGTCTCTTCAGAGGCATGGGAAATCACTCTTGCATGGCTGCGCGTCACTTGGTGCCAGGACTGAAGGCTCTTAATCTGATCTTTTAACACTCGCTCTCTGTGTGACAGTCTCTCTGCCAAAATGGCAGCTGTGGCATTAGATTTTATTTTAAAATGCTTTTATTTAAAATTAAGTGATCATATTTAGAGAAAAGAAAAAACATTCCCTGAAGACTTGTGTATTAGCTATAGGACAGTGACCAGAGGGATTTTGTACATCTAAAAGCCAAGCTTTTTGAAATTTTCAGCAGAACCGAGGTAAATTTACATACATCTAGGTAAAGCATATTTTAGGGTTAGACCCTGTATACAGATTAGGGTACCTGCCTAGTATTATTTGTGTGTCCCTTAGCCCATTTTCCTAACTTAAAATTGTCGTGTACTACTGAATGACAGTGATTAAAATTTTAAACTGTAAGCCTTTTTTTCTTTTTTAAGGAAATGAGTTATATAATTGTACCTCAAATGTATCTGAGTGACGTGTGTCTGCGTATAAAAATTATACAAATTTTTTTTTCTAGTATATCCTTTCTTAAAAAAAATTATAGCCATGTATATTTGAATGATCTGTCTCCAAGATCTTAGGCATCAGACAGAAAACAAGTAAGCACTGCTTATGAGTGCTTAGAATTTCACAGGATACCTAACGTCAGAATTTATGAGCCTTCATCTGTCTGAAGCTGTTCTTTTTCTCCAGTTTATTTTTGGCTGTTAGAAATTGGTTAAGAGTGATCTGTCTTCTCCTGTCACAGTTTTTCTTCTAAAAGCACATGTCAGGATAGTAAGTGTGGGAGGCTCCTCTCCCAAATTGGGTCTCATTTGCAAGAGAACTATAAAGAATCAACTCATAGTTGTAGTTGGCAGTTCCATAAACAGGAAATGCCAGGACGATGGTGAGGCTTAGGTCCAGCCTTTGTCTCTCTTATAGCGTGCTTGGCTTGCTCCAACCAATCTAGCTGCACACCCTTGAAGGAGATCTTTTTCTCTTCAAGCCTTAGTTTTCTCACATGTGGGATGGAATTAATAATAGCATTGAACATACCCAATGGCTGAGGATTACTCTGGATTATACTTGGGTACTTTAGCACTTAGTAGGTACCCTCTGCTATGGACTGGTGGTTGTACTAACTGTGGCAGACTTGTTTCCTTTTGGGAGGACCTGGAGCCAACTCTGCATTCCCCTTTTGATTTGCATTTTAGAAAAATATACATTTGTTGTCTTCCATTTGAATGTCCTTTTTTAGAGAAAAAATCTGTAAATTAAACCGAATCCAGAGCTCTAAACTAGTTAGTTTAAATCATCAGACTTTGGCTTGTTTCCTTTATCCTTGTGGGTTCTCAGTAAAATTGAAGGGTGCCATTAGAAACTGTCTGGGAACCCCCTGTTTACCCTGCCCTGCTTCCAGGAGCACACCTTTAAGGGGGTTCTAATGTGGGGGGAAGCTTTGCACCACTGTTCCTGGCATGAAGGGGTAGCATTCTTGCTAACTTTAAACTGGATTAGCTCTGCCTCTTTGCCGGCTTTGTGTTAGGAAAGTTGATCTCTGAGCCTTGGTATTGCTACAGAGTGAGAATAATGACTCTGTCTTTGCAATGTCTATTTGTGTGTGTATGGGATGTAAAGCACTTGGCAAGGAAATGCCCTTTTTTCCTCCCTCTTTGGCTACTATACTTTCAGGAAGTTAATATTCCAGGTTAATCTAGTCCTGAGGCATCTAGAGAGGAAGAACTAAGTGAAAGCTAGGCGGAGTTCAAGGTGATGTCTCAGAGTGGGCTGGCCAGCAGATCTCATCCTGTGGTGGACCAGCAGGGACTGTTACCTCTGCACAGATTATCTTTCACAAGGAAGGTTTTGTTTGTTTGTTTTTGTTTTTAAGTTGATATTTATGTTAACCTATTAAATTTTAGACTCCCAGTTCTGGGCCTGATTTGATCTGGAGGATACTCATGCAGTCTTATTTCTCTGAAAGGGTTTTTGAGACAGGTAGGGTATGTATGCTTTATGGTAACCAGTAGGTCTTACTAAGACCTTTGAGGACTTCTGTCTCCTAGTAGACTGCAGATCGATAGGGGACGTTTTTATTACAAGTTTTAATTGAAAAATCTTTCCCTGGGATGGTTGTATTTTTTAGAAATTTGTGACTGTGATGATAAGGTGCAGAGGTCATCGGAAGAGCTGTGCTATGCACAGAGTGTGAGAGGATCCTGAGGTCAGCCAGGCCCAGGCCCAAATCCTGGCTCAGCCCTAAGCTGCCTTTATAGTGTTGAGTAAAACAGGTAGCTTTCCTGAGGGACCTGTGCCATAGGATTGTGATGTGAGGCTTAATGGTGAGGTATAGGACCTAGCTGGACATTTGGTGGAATTCAGAGAAAAAGTGGTTTGATCAAGATGAGAATGTACTTCGCCCTCACACGCTGGCCTAGGAGAAGCTGTGGCCAGTTTGTGACTCCATGGTGTTGTATTAACATTCGTTGTACTTAGTACCACCCATCATGTTTTACCCCAACTGGCAGGAAGGAGAAGGGGAAGGACACGATCTTTGTTATTAAGGGAATGATGTTGAAGGTGCTGTGTTCTCGTCCCTCTGTGGTGTCCACCACCTAATTATCTCCTCCAAGCCAGCTAACAGAAGACTTGGAAATGCAGTCTTAGCTGAGACCACTGTGTCCACCTAAAGGTGTTCTGTAAAGCAAGTAGTATCAGGAGATGACTGATACTCATTCCCATGTCATTGCAAAGGTGTGCCGTTACATGATAAATAATACCTCTGATTGTATATTAGCACAGCTCATGTTTTAAAATTTAAAATTTTAAAATATTAATATAAAATAATGCCTAGCTCTTGC